TGGTACAATCATTGCAGTTACTGTCTGTGTCTTTGGGAGCTGTTTTTACGTGCTCTGTACTGACACTGTTTGTGTCTTATGGAGTGACGGAGGACTCTTTTGGCCTTCTGTCTTGGTCCACTGTCTTGGTCTTCTCTCTTGATATTCTCTGTGCACTAACAGTCTATGCTTCAGAGTTCCTCTGAAGCCATGTGGGATAGAGGTTTTGGGGCCAGAGTAGGACTTCTAGCTTGAAGCCTCCTACTCTGAGAATTTTGGAACAGCCAAACTGCTGGAAGCTTGTCTTCTGACTGGCTGGATAACCAGAACCTTACTGTACTTAGAGAGTGGGGTATCAAGCTGGGTGGGTGTTCACTTACCTCTTTGTCTGCTGTGTGCAGTAGCAGCCTGTGCTTCCAAGTTTCTCTTAGGTCACAGGAGATATGATGGTTTCGGGGGTGGATTGGGACTTGTAGCTTACAGGCTGCAATAGAGAGGGTGGTGGATTTGGAGCATCCTACCTGTAGGAATCTTACCAGCTGGCTGACTAGAGAAGCTGATGCAGGTAGGGGAGGGCCCAGGGTTTTGTATGGAGCCAAGGGCCTAGAGAGTGAGTGCCTAGTGGGGTGGGTGCTTACCCACCTCTTGTTCCGCTCTGTGTCCTCTCAGCCTGTGCTTTAGAGTTCCTCTGCCCACCAGCCCCACATATTTCTCTCTCTAGTACAGCTATTGGCTATTAAGCTCTATAGTTGATTAATCAGGTGTTTTAGGCAGGCACAGTAATACAGCTTTATATAGTTAAACAAATGAAAAAAATGAATGCAATACATCTTTGCATCATTAAACAAATATTCCACAGCATAAATTCATGTAACACATCTTAAAATCATATTCCATTACATGAATTAATTCATCACATACTCAATGTTGACTCAATTCCTAATTTATCGATTTAGTCACTAGAACAAGGTCAGGAAGACCACAGATGCTCTCCCTTATCACCTGACCACGCAGCTATTCTCCTGCCCTGGAATAGACCAATCACTGCTAGTAACCCTTTGAATAAGCCAATACAATAAGGTGGAAAACAACCTACAGGTTCCCCCTTGTGTCTGTGGTTTTTTTGCTTTAAAAAATGGACTGTAACAGCTATCAGATGTCCTTCATATCCTGAACTTGAAGGGTCCTGTCATGACAGAATAAAAATCCTCTTGCTTTTGAATCAATTGAGGCTTTGTGAGTAGTGTCTGGAGCAACCCCTCCCTGATGATTGGACTTCTAGTCCAACATTTTGATGCATTGGTCAGGAATTGAGTTGCTTCTGGACTCAATCCAGGCACAGTTGGAGGTAACATCGAGTGCTCTTATTGTCTTTGTCTGTCTGCTTTGTTTCTGTGATTATTGTAGTCTGTGTTTGTTGTTATTTTGAGTCTGTAGTGCTGCAGAGCTTCTGAAATTGTACCTATGTAGGGCCAGTATCTGTACTGGAGGACACTCCAGTAATCTGTAAATCTGGGGGATGCTCCAGTAATCTGTAAATCTGGAGGACACTCCAGTATCCAAAGGGGCTAAGAGTGACCAGGTCACTCCTCTAGTTCCCAAGAGGCAGGGCTTTTTGCCACTCACTTCCTCTGAATCTGTAGTGCTGTGCAGTTTCTGATTTTGAGTTTGGTTTGGCTTTTTGTGTCTTTGTTTTTATGTCGTGTCTTTGTTTTTGTATATCTGTTTGTATTCGAGTCTAAATCTGGTACGATGGGGCAGTGAGAACCACCTCTCTGACCCTAACTCTGACTTGACAGAAAAGCTGTAGACCAAGCTGTGGAAATCTGAAAGAAATACTGGCAAGTGGTCTGCTTCCTGGAATGGCCCACTTTTTTTTGGGGAGGGGGGATTTTTCGAGACAGAGTTTCTCTGTAGCTTTTGGTTCCTTGTCCTGGAACTAGCGCTTATAGACCAGGCTGGCCTCTAACTCACAGAGATCCACTTCTGTCTGCCTCCCGAGTGCTGGGATTAAAGGCGTGTGCCACTGCTCCCCGGCTGGAATGGCCCACTTTTGATGTGGGCTGGCCACAGGGTGGGACGTTCAATCTAGATATTATTTTGCAGGTAAAAGAAAAAGTCTTCCAGCCTTACCCTTATGGCCACCCGGACCAGGTTCCCTATATTGTCACCTGGGAGAACTTGTCCAGAGAACCCCCCTACTCTGGGTCAAACCATTTCATTACAGAGCACAGTGCGGGCACCAAGGCTGCCTTCCCTCTGACTTTGATAACAGCAGTTGGCCCCTCCCCCGTCTCTTTTCCCTGCAGGCGGCCCACAAGCCAGCAGGGTCCAAACTGGTGCTAATTCCTCCCCACAGGACCCAGTAAGCCTGGGGGCTGTTTCTCTGGGGTCAGATACCCTATTAGAAAGCTAAAGTCTTGTAAAGAGCCTGGACCTTTTCACTTTGGCAGCAGATAGAAAGATTGCAAATAAGTATCCCTGTGGCTTTTGGTAAACCACAAATGTGGATTCAGGAGCAACAGGTAGTAGGGCAAGCCAACATCAGAAGGGCCTCCCAGTCCTGTGACATCTTTCTTCTAGGGATGCTCTGTTCTGGTCATCACGTGCTGTGTTCAGGGTAAAGCTTCAGGTTTAAAAATTGGGGAAAGTTGAGCTAAGTCACTTTAAAAAATGTGCTTATAAAAAACTACAGATTGTTGGTTTCTATATTTCTTACTAAACAGTGTGTACAGAAAAAAGTAAATTCCCAGCTCTGTTAGATGGACAGAACTACACTGTCTTCAAGAACTATTGCTGTAAAAGCCCTGGCCCCAGGACAGGGCCATGTAAACAGCCCAGCTGAGCTTCTAAGCCACCCATGTGCCCATGTTCAGATCTGAATTTAACATTTGACTGCTCGCAATACTTGTGATGAGGTGGGGACCCCGAGTTGCCCCACATGGTGACGATTCTCATTTATTATTGATATAAAAAAGGTACATTTTCAGTTGTTTTCAGATTCTGTCTATGAGAAAATAATGTAAAATAGGCCCAAAAGGGATATTGCTGAGTTTTGAGGTAATATGTTACCTAATTCTGAAAATTCATCATACTAATGTTCAAAGTAGCTGTATCAGTTTGCATTTTTACCAAAAATGGAGGAATTTTATTCCACATTCTTTTATTTTTTTTTTCTTTTTTGGATTTTCGAGACAGGGTTTCTCCATAGCTTTTTGGTTTCTGTCCTGGAACTAGTTCTTGTAGACCAGGCTGGCCTCAAACTCATAGAGATCCGCCTGCTTCTGCCTCCTGAGTGCTGGGATTAAAGGCGTGCGCCACCACCGCCCTGCTATTCCACATTCTTTTAAGCATAAATTGTCAAACAATATTTTTATTTATTTATTTATATATATATTTATTTATTTATTTTTTGGTTTTTCGAGACAGGGTTTCTCTGTAGCTTTGGAGCCTGTCCTGGAACTAGCTCTTGTAGACCAGGCTGGCCTTGAACTCACAGAGATCCACCTGCCTCTACCTCCCGAGTGCTGGGATTACAGGCGTGCGCCACCACCGCCCGGCCAAACAATATTTTTAATCTTGGTCATTTTTAAAGGGATAAGATAAAATCTCAGAATTGTTTGATTTGCATTTCCCCGATGAATAAGGATGTTATATTTAAGCAAATTTTAAATATGTTTCAGTCATTTTAAGTTCATCTGTTGAGAATTTACAGTTTAGGTCTGTAACATAATTTTATTGGATTATTTGTTCTTATTAGGACTAAGTTTTTATGTTCTTTATGTTTTTTAAAAATAATTGATACAGCCTGGTGGTGGTAGCACACGCCTTTAATCCAAGCACTCGGGAGGCAGAGGCAGGCTGATCTCTGTGAGTTTGAGACCTGCCTGGTCTACAAGAGCTAGTTCCAGGACAGGTTCCAAAACCACAGAGAAGCCCTGTCTCAAAAAAACCAAAAAAAAAAATAATTGATAAAGATACCTTCCCATTCTATAGGTTGATATTATGTTCTGTTGATTATATCCTTTGCTACACAAAAAGCTTCTCAGTTCTGGAGATCTCATTTATTGATTGTTTCTCTCAATGTCTATGCCACTGAGGCTGTGTTTGAAAATGTATTTAAAACTTTTTTCTTCTATGAGGTTCAGTATTGTTGGTTTTATGTTAAGGTCTTGATTTGTTTGGGTTTCAGTTTTGTGCATAGAGATAAATATGGATCTATTTTCATTCTTCTATGTCTAATTAATTCTTAAAGGGAGAAACTGACAGTCAAAATGCCGGGCTCATGGCAAATCTCAGGGGCAAGGCACCCCACTAATTTGGCCAAGGTAAAACAGGTTCTTCAGGGGCAAGTTAAAATCTGTGTTTCTTAAATGTTCACTGGAGGTTTACAGGCATTTTACCCAGCCACTAAAGGTCAGCAGGCAGTGGTAGCCATGACCTTCATAGGACAGTCAGCATCAGATATAAGGAGAAAGTTACAGCAAGTAGATAGGTTGCAAGATTATAGCTTGCAGAATTTGGGGAGACAGAGAAAATGTTAAACGAGAGACAGAGAAAATGTAGCGAAAGAGAGAGAGGAGGGAAGTGAAAGAGAAAGGCGGGAGGCAGAGAAAAGAAAAAAACAGAGGGATCATAAGCAAGAAAGAAATTTGACTAGAAAAAAAAAAGAGGACTCAGACAGATAGGGAGCCTGGGCAACAGAAGATCAAAGACAAATGAAGATGGACAGAGGCACTCCTTGGAAAAAGGCCAATGTGCTTATGGCAAGAAAAAGGAATTAGATTCCTCTATAGATTTTCTAAGGGACACAGGGACTGACCACTCTGTGCTAAAACAACTGTTGAACAAAATGGACACCTTACGAACTATAAATTTGGGACAAGAACAAATAAATGACTCATTCCTCCCTGATCACCCCTAAATGTATGATCAAAGCCTTTTGTTGACCAAACGAGGGACTTTGCTTTCCCTGCTGTTTTCAGATCTATAGGAGATGCAGGCTGCTTGTCTGCCTCTACCTCCACCACACCCTCCTCACGAGGATGACCACCTCCCCCTGCCACACCACCAGAGAACTCCTTGCCTCCCAGCAACTGCCTTGGTGCCATGCTTGCCCTAAAGCCTGCATGAGCCCTGGCTGCTCACCCTGCAGTCTCGCTCCCCTCACACATGTCAGACTGTGATAGAGCACTCCCAATGCTACCACAGGTGCCCTCCTGCACTGGACTGCTGCTCCTGTGCCCTGCTCACACCGACGGACTATGGATCCTACCAGCATCTGCAGAAAGGACATGTGACTGGCAGAATGGCAGACTGAGCTGTGCCAGGCAGAGCCGGAAATGATGGCGAAGCTTGCCTGGGGCACAAGGCTGGGGGTCTGAGCCAAGCAGGTATACAAGACTGAAGGTAAGCGGAAGACAGGGGCAGCAATGGTGGACAGGAAGCAAATGATCTGGGCCAGTAATCTCCCTGAAGGGACATTGGCCCGACCAGAAAGCAGAACTTGTGGCTTTGATACAAGCTCTACAGATGGTAGAGGGAATGTCTACGCTGACGGCAGGTATGCTTTTGCCACTACCCACATACATGGAGCAATATACAGACAAAGAGGACTGTTGACATCTGCGGAAATTATTTTGAGCCTCCTCGAGGCCACACAGTTGCCAAAGAAGATAGCCATCATACATTGACCATTACTGGGATCGCCAATGTAATGGCTAAGAAGATCATAAAAGAAATCTTCCCGAGGTTTGGAATGCCCAAGGTAATCATGTCCAATAATAGACCTGCCTTTGCTGCCCAGGTAGATCAGGGTGTGGCCAAGACATTGGGCATCAATTGAAAATTGTGCTTACCAACCCCAAAGGTCATGTCAGATAGATAAGATAAATAAAATTCTAAAAGAAAATTTTTACAAATTAACAAAAATTGGCCCTAGAGACTGGCAAAATGACTGGATAGACCTCCATCCCTCTGTCCTGTTCTGGCTTCAAAACACTCCTGGGCTATTTAAACTCACCACTTATGAGATCCTATGTGAGGGCTGCCACTGCTCACTAAGGCAAATGAGGTATATAATCCTGATGCTGTTTTCCCAGACTGTTATCTGCCCACCTAAAGCCCTCCTGATCATCCAAGCCCAGTGTGGAAGCCTCTGGCTGCTGGCTACCAGTCCAGACACCCAGAGATCATCCATTGGTGATTCCATATATGTCTGGAGCCATCAGTCCCAGAGCCTTAAACCTTCCTGGAAGGGACCCTACACCATACTCCTTATGACAACCACTGCTCTCAAAGTAGATGACATTGTGATTTGGATCAACACATCTCACATAATGCTGACACCTCCACAGGACGACTCAGGACCCTCCAGATAAAAGCTTCAGCACACCCAAAGCTAAACTAAGAACTCTTAAAAAAATACCAAATGAACTCTCCCCAGGACTCTTCCCTACATGTAGACATTATGACTGATATATTTGTTTGGGGGGAGGGGATGTAAGCAAACTTGACAAGGTGGGGGGAGCTGAACTAGCCCCCTCCTGCAGGGGCCCTAAGCACCACACCAAGCCCTAAGGCCCTGCCATTTCCCAGCTCCCGCCCTAAAAACCCCAGCTAGATTCTTTCGAGTCCCAGGTCTGTAGAAAATACCAACTCCTGACGTTCATTTGTGAACAACTCAATATTACCCAAGTTTTAGTACTGACTCAACAATATCAGGCTCTCAAGAGAGACCTCAGAAAATCCCAAGATTGGGATTTGACAAAACAAGAGAAGGGAATGAAAGATTCTAAATGCATTTCTAAGCCCCCTCAACCCTAAGACATTCTTCTAAAACCTTACACTCACTCTTGGAAATGGGACAGTCGCCCCCCCACACACACACTTGCTGGACTGCTTATCTTCCTATGTCCTTGTTAATAATCTTCAAACATAACTCCACTCTCGGAATTGAGGCAAAGACAACCCACAGATGGTGACTCAGTTCCTGATGTGTTGATTTAGTCCCTAGAACAAGGTCAGGAAGACCACAGAGATGCTCTCCCTTATCACCTGACCACGCAGCTATTCTCCTGCCCTGGAATAGACCAATCACTGCTAGTAACCCTTTGAATAAGCCAATCCAATAAGGTGGAAAACAATCTACAGGTTCCCCCCTTGTGTCTGTGGCTTTTTGCTTTAAAAGATGGACTGTATCAGGTATCAGAGGTCCTTCATATCCCGAACTTGAAGGGTCCTGTCATGACAGAATAAAAATCCTCTTGCTTTTATATCAATTGAGGCTTTTGAGTGGTGTCTGGAGCAACTCCTCCCTAATGATTGGGCTTCTAGTCCAACAGAGTATAAATTGAAAAATTAGAAACTAAAAGTTTAAAAATTTAATTGACTAAAAGTTACACTATATTAGTTAGGGTTCTCTAGAGTCATAGACTTATGGACCAAATCCCTCTCCATTCATCTATCTATCTATCTATCTATCTATCTATCTATCTATCTATCTGTCTGCCTTTCTGTCTGTCTGTCTATCTATCTACCTACCTATCTACCATCTATCTATCTATCTATCTATCTATCTATCTATCTATCTATCTATCATCTGTGATCATATGAAGATTTTTGGGGGAATAACTTTCAGAGTGCAGTCCAAAAATGGCTGTCAGTGAAAGGAAGGTTCAGGAATCTACCTCAGACCAACAAGACTGGGTTTCTCAGCTGTTTTGTGTATATGCTGGAATCTCAAAGAAGTAGACTTCAATGACAATGAAGGAATACCTGTGCTGATGAGGTAAGGGAATACAGAGATGTTGAAGACCCCATGACTATACAGGAAATGCACATGTGACAGAGCACTAGGCAGATCCACAGGAAGTGAATACATCCACCCAAACATGGAACAAGCTATTTTGCTGAGCTGCGGAAACACTTCTCTTTTGGGAAAGTCACTGTCGTACCTTTCTGTGTTAACTTTGTGGAGCCATGATTCTTCCCGAAACACCTCAGCAGTGTGACTTCTGCAGCGCAATGGTGTGACCTTGCTTCCCCACACCAGTGGGCTTTAGAGTGATAACATTCATTCCTTTTTCTAACAGTCAAATTGACATTTGTCAGTCCCACAAATTTACCCTCTAACAGACCACATAGAAATTTCTATAGAAGGCAGGCATTGAGCAGTAAGACAGCATGCCCCACCTTTACGAAAAAAAAAATCTGGGCAGTCCCAAAACTGGTTATCACAAAGAGATTAGATAAGGAGAATGGGTGAATCCAGGATTTAGGCAAGTTTATTAACTTTATCTAATGGTTTGGAATGTCAGGTATTCCCCTTGACTGCTAGCTCTTTCTTTCTTGGCTCAGGTCACCTGTTCAGGAGTACTGCTTTGTCTGGTTCTACCTGATTTTGTCATTCTGATATGCCTATTATCATTGTTATTGCTTGGGGAATATTCCAACTGTGTCTGTAAAGACTAGAAACCTCATGGAGACCAGCCCTTACTCTTACTCTTCTTCTCCTCACTACTTCTACTTCTTCCACTTACTCTCCTTCCTTCTCCTTTTCCTTCCTCTTAGTCTCTTCCCCTTGTTCCCCTTCCCCTTGATTCCCTTCCCCTTCCCCTTCTCCTTCTTTCCCTTCCCCTTCACCTCCTCCTTCTTCTTCTTTTCTTTTCTTTTTTTTCCCTTCTTCACTTTATTTCTCTCCCCTTACATGAAAAATAAAGAAGATGCAGTGGTAATGTACTTCAGTTTAACTTTTACACTCAGATACTTGACTGTTGTACACATCCAATTCTAAGCATTCTGGGGGTACTGAGGCTGGCACTCAAGGCTCCCTGGTAGAGAGAAATAATACCCCATCTTTCTTCTTCCATTGTCCTTCCAGCATGGTGTGACACAAATTGAAGTTGTGCCTTCTAGCTTCAAGGTCTAGATCAACGTTGAGTGTCATTCATCCTTACTATTTGGATCATTGGCCTGTGGTCCTCCTCCCTTAAGGTACAGATCACAACTGTGCCCTCCAGTTTTGAATTGTAGTTCATTCCCGATATAATACAGTTGAAAACCAAGAACAACTGTCATAATCAATTCATTGTCAACATGACATACAATCATATCACCTTATTAATTTCCAAATGAAAATCAATAACCGGGTTGTAATTATGACTAAACATAACATAATTATGTCAAATACAAGTGATTATATATTTAGAATATTGGCAAGGTCTCATGGAGGATATCATTCTAGTATCTCAAAGTTCTGATAACCACAAATATTCTCTTAATTGATGTTGCAACATATGATAAGGAAATTTAAAAGACATAGAAATAACTTTACAAATACATTGTCAACAAAATACAACAGAAGCACTCATATCAGTTAAAGTTCTCATTGCTGCAATAGTCACGTGACTTTAGATGGCATTTAGAGCTGCCACACTCTGCTGGCCATTCTGTATTTCTCCCGACCTCTGCAAGCACTTCACAAGGTCTTGGGTCTTTTCCTAGAGAAGTGACCCATGCCTTCATTCCTGATGGGCATGTGAAGTTTGTCATACTTACTGGATTATACTGCTTTTGTTTCTCATTTGTTTTAATGGCAAGCCCTGGTATGACAAGGGGATGCCCTGAAAGATCTCCTGCATTCTGGACATATTATCTTTCTTGTCTCTATTGTGAAGAGCAATCCAATTTCCCCATGCTAATCTGGATATATCACCTTGCCTAAAGTTGTTATTCTTTCTCTAGTCTGTTGGTTTAAGAGCATTTGAAGCCCAAATGTCCTTTTCACAGAGGAAGTTTTCCAGTGTAGTCAACCTGCCAGTAGGTTGGTGGCTGGTCACTCTAGTAATGGTGTCATACATGGGGCTAAGTTTTGGTCTGTGCTAATGCGTAATATGGCAACTCAGCAAAACTGTAGCCAAGTCAGCCATGATGAGTTCAAGTCCATGTTCTTGAACCCATGCCTATCTCCCATTTTGGCAATGTGGCCACTATGGTCATGGGCCCATTGGACACTGACATGAATAAATGGGAAAAGAGGCTGATTGTACATGGAAGAGTCAATGTGTCTCAATGAGTTTTGAACTCCTCCTCAGCTGAATGAACATTTTGA